CATTGTCTTGTTGGAACACCCATTTCAAGGGCATTTCCTCTTCAGCATAAGGAAGCATGACCTCTTCAAGTATTCTGATGTATTCAAACTGATCCATGATCCCTGGTATGCGATAAATAGGCCCAACACCGTAGTATGAGAAACATCCCCATATCATGATGCTTGCGCAACCATGCTTCACTGTCTTCACAATGTACTGTGGCTTGAATTCAGTGTTTGGGGGTCGTCTGACAAACTGTCTCCGGCCACTAGATCCAAAAAGAACAATCTTACTTTCATCAGTCCACAAAATGTTGCGCCATTTCTCTTTAGGCCAGTCAATGTGCTCTTTGGCAAATTGTAACCTCTTCAGCACATGTCTTTTTTTCAACAGTGGGACTTTGCGGGGGCTTCTTGCAGATAGCTTGGCTTCACATAGGCATCTTCTAATTGTAACAGTACTCACAGGTAACTTTAGACCTTCTTTGATCTTCCTGGAGATGATTGTTGGCTGAGTCCTTGCCATTTTGGCTATTCTTCTATCCATTCGAATGGTAGTTTTTCGCTTTCTTCCACGTCTTTCAGGTTTTGGTTGCCATTTTAAAGCATTTGCGATCATTTTAGCTGAGCAGCCTATCTTTTTCTGCACTTCTTTATATGTTTTCCCCTCTCCAATCAACTTTTTAATCAAGGTACGCTGTTCTTCTGAACAATGTCTGGAACGACCCATTTTCCTCAGAATTTCAGAGAGAAATGCACTGTAACCAGCATGTACAACATTTGCTGCCTTCCTTCCTTAAATAAGGGCAATAATTGCCACCTGTTTTTCAAAGAATGAATGACCTCACTAATAGAACTCCACACTGCTATTATTTTGAACATGCCCCTTTCAATTAGTGATTCAATTACGCAGAATCAGCAGCATGCATGTCATGACTGTTGGGTCTGTTGGATTTCTATTACTCTACTACACCTGCTAGTAAATTATTTGCCATGTAGAAATATCATTTCTACCAAAAACAGTGATTGATCAGGTTAGTGATGTCTGACTGCTATTATTTTGAACACAACTATATATATATATATATATATATATATATTTTTTTTTTTTTTAACTTACTGTCACCAGAGCAAGTGCAACGTCACTATGATGACATCATACTGCTGTGGCGGTGATCATGTACAATGGCTTGCTGCTCCGTGCTCTGATATCACTGTTTGTCATTGCTGCCAACCATTGTGTTTGATCACTGCCATAGTATAGTGACACCAGTTAGTGTCCCTAATCTCTGCCACACCAGTCCCAGTGTTCCTGATCACCACCACACAGTAATAGTGTCACGATAAGGACATGTGTGGTGCTCTCTGAAGAGCCATCCATGTTCGGACTACTCTTCAGAGAGCATTTGACAGGCAGTAAGAAGGTGTTATATTGCTTCCACCACCACCTGCTTTAACCCCTTGAACCCCACACAAGCACCCTCATTCACTGAAATCTGTTGTAATTGGTAGGTATACGGGGGCATAATTCCTGCCAAAGCATACCGGCCATGGCATGTGTACACACCCGCCTGCTGAATATGCAGCTAAAGTGGGTAGTAGTTAAGGGGAGGTAAAACTGAGGATCAACTGCAAAGTTTTACCCCGCCCCCCAAAAAAAACTTCATGTTAGTACAGCCAATCACAGTTCTTTGATCACCAGCCACAGGTCTCTGAACACGAGACCAGTACAGATAGAATCAGTGTTCCTGATTGACTCCCCACCACAACAGTGCAGCAAGCAACAGTTTTCCTGATCATCACCACCACACCAGTCCCAGTGTCACCAGACCAGTGTATGCCAGCAACAGTGTTCCTTATCACTGCCACATTAGTGGACCAGTCACAGTGTCCCTACACCAGTGTAATCTAGTAACAGTGTCCCTACACCAGTGTAATCTAGTAACAGTGTCCCTGACTGTCGCCACACCAGTCCCTGTGTTACCAGACCAGTGTAAGTCAGCAGCAGTGTTCGTGACTGCTGCCACATTAGTCCCTAGTGGCACCAGATCAGTGCAGCAAGCAACAGTGCTCCTGTTCACCACCATATCACTGCAGTGTTTCTTCTGCCTGGTGCCTGTACAAGCCCTGGCCTGTTTATTGACCATGTTTCTGCCTGGTGCCTGAACCAATCCTTTGCCCGTTTGCTGACCATGTCTGCCTGCCGCCTGAACTGAACCATCTGCACGTCCAACTATATCCCTGCGAGATATCCATTCCATCCATCCCCTGTGGACATCTACACTTTTGGAACCACAGTAACACTTTTGTTCTTCATTTCTTCAGCCTCCTACAGTCAGGTCCATAAATATTGGGACATCGACACAATTCTAACATTTTTGGCTCTATACACCACCACAACTGATTTGAAATGAAATGAACAAGATGTGCTTTAACTGCAAACTGTCAGCTTTAATTTGAGGGTATTTACATCCAAATCAGGTGAACGGTGTAGGAATTACCACAGTTTGCATATGTGCCTCCCACTTGTTAAGGGACCAAAGGTAATGGGACAGAATAATAACCATAAATCAAACTATCACTTTTTAATACTTGGTTGCAAATCCTTTGCAGTCAATTACAGCCTGAAGTGTGGAATGCATTGACATCACCAGACGCTGGGTTTCATCCCTGGTGATGCTCTGCCAGGCCTCTGCGACAACTGTCTTCAGTTCCTGCTTGTTCTTGGGGCATTTTCCCTTCAGTTTTGTCTTCAGCAAGTGAAATGCATGCTCAATCAGATTCAGGTCAGGTGATTGACTTGGCCATTGCATAACATTCCACTTCTTTCCCTTAAAAAACTCTTTGGTTGCTTTTGCAGTCTGCTTTGGGTCATTGTCCATCTGCACTGTGAAGCGGCATCCAATGAGTTGTGAAGCATTTGGCTGAATATGAGCAGATAATATTGCCAGAAACACTTCAGAATTCATCCTGCTGCTTTTGTCAGCAGTCACATCATCAATAAATACAAGAGAACCAGTTCCATTGGCAGCCATACATGCCCACGCCATGACACTACCACCACCATGCTTCACTGATGAGGTGGTATGCTTTGGATCATGAGCAGTTCCTTTCCTTCTCCATACTCTTCTCTTCCCATCACTCTGGTACAAGTTGATCTTGGTCTCATCTGTCCATAGGATGTTGTTCCAGAACTGTGAAGGCTTTTTTAGATGTCGTTTGGCAAACTCTAATCTGGCCTTCCTGTTTTTGAGGCTCACCAATGGTTTACATCTTGTGGTGAACCCTCTATATTCACTCTGGTGAAGTCTTCTCTTGATTGTTGACTTTGACACACATACACCTACCTCCTGGAGAGTGTTCTTGATCTGGCCAACTGTTGTGAAGGGTGTTTTCTTCACCAGGGAAAGAATTCTTCGGTCATCCACCACAGTTGTTTTCCGTCGTCTTCCGGGTCTTTTGGTGTTGCTGAGCTCACCGGTGCGTTCCTTCTTTTTAAGAATGTTCCAAACAGTTGTTGCCACGCCTAATGTTTTTGCTATCTCTCTGATGGGTTTGTTTTGTTTTTTCAGCCTCATGATGGCTTGCTTCACTGATAGTGATAGCTCTTTGGATCTCATCTTGAGAGTTGACAGCAACAGATTCCAAATGCAAATAGCACACTTGAAATGAACTCTGGACCTTTTATCTGCTCATTGTAATTGGGATAATGAGTGAATAACACACACCTGGCCATGAAACAGCTGAGAAGCCAATTGTCCCATTACTTTTGGTCCCTTAACAAGTGGGAAGCACATATGCAAACTGTTGTAATTCCTACACCGTTCACCTGATTTGGATGTAAATACCCTCAAATTAAAGCTGACAGTCTGCAGTTAAAGCACATCTTGTTCGTTTCTATTCAAATTCATTGTACTGGTGTATAGAGCCAAAAATGTTAGAATTGTGTCAATGTCCCAATATTTATGGACCTGACTGTATACTTTCTGGCCAGTAAACATGGAATTCCTCAGGTCAGCCACATACCAGTAGGTTTTGCTTATAGGAACTGGGACTGCTGTAGATGTTACATTAAGGTATATATTCCCTGACCACTCCTACCGAGGTGACCTTTACAATACAAAGCTCGGTACCTAATTAGTCCAGACACTGGAAAAGTCTCACACATTTGGTATCGCCATACTTGGGAGGTGTAGTAAAATGTGCTTTGGGTTGTAATTCTGTGTGCCCATGCTGTATGTGAGAAATATTAAATTGACAACTTTGTGTAAAAAAAAAAAAATGTATTTTCTTTCCGTATTTTCCAAAAACGTTTGACACAATAATGAAGTCTTCAAGAGACTCACTATGCCACTTTGCCTCTTAAAAAATAGCTTGAGGTGTTTACTTTCCTTTAATCACTTCCAGTCCGGACACTTTTACCCCCTTCCTGTCCAGGCCAATTTTCACCTTTCAGCGCTATCACACTTTGAATGACAATTGCGCGGTCGTGCAACACTGTACCCATATGAATTTTTAGCATTTTTTTGAGACAGATAAAGCTTTATTTTGGTGGTATTTATTCACCACTGGGATTTTTATTTTTTTTACTATGTAAATTAAAAAGTCCAAAAATTTTGAAAAAAAAGTGTTTTTTCTTATAAACTTTTGCAAATAATAGTATTTCATCATAAGTCTTGGCCAAAATTTATTCCGTTTATATTTTTAGTAAAAAAAAAATAACCCAAATTAGTTTATAACCAAAATGATAATTTTTAAACTTTTTTTTTTTATTATTTTTTTTTAACATACTGACACCCTAGCAGTACAGTGTCACCATGGTGACACTGTTCTACTTGTCGGGGGTGATGAAGACTTTTTTTTTTTTTTACACTGATTGCTTTTACACCCATAAAGGATGTAAAAACAATCATTTCTCCTTCTCTCTAGCTGCATTCTTGCAGCCATTGAGAATTACTGTGTGAGCTGTGATTGGTCACAGCTTGTCACGTGGTACAAGGCTGTTGTGAATAGCCTTGTACCATGTGACCTTTGTGATCATTCACAGATTTCACATGTAGTAAGCAATGATGTCACAAGTGACATCTTGCTTACTACTCTGCATGTGATCACTGATTGGCCAATCAGTAATCACATGATCGGGACCTCGTACAGTTCCACTGTGTCCGGGGGGGAGCGCGCACATGCAGGGTGCGGGGAGGCCGTTTATAAATGGCCACCTGACCCTGCACTGCCACTGTCCGGCCGTTTATATACAACGGCCGGACGGGAGGTGGTTAAAATGTGGTAATTGTGCTGGTGTTTCTACTGCCCTGGTGCTCCAATGCCTCCAAAAAAGGTGATAGGTAGTCAAGAAATTAGAAAGTCTGAAGGTGCTACTTGGATTTTAGGCCTGTCATTGAGGTTGGGTTGTGAAAAAGTCTCATGCATGTGGTATCGCCACACTTGGAAGGAGTAGCTAAATGTGTTTAGGGGTGTAATTCTCAGTATATTAACGAAAATAAAAAACAGTTGTATTTAAATACCACCAAAAGAAAGCTCCTTCTAAAGAAAAATGTAATGTGGGTACAGTGTTGCAATTACCTATAATTTTACTTTAAGATGTCAGAGTTTGTCATATCGAACAAAAAAAAGTGGTACTGTTTACTAGTGATTGTCCTAAAGCTAATAATAGTTAAAGGGATCAAATTGATGATCGGTTTCAACCGTAGTGACTAAAAATAAAGAAATGAGTAGGATAGAAGATTTTTATCAAACAAAGACCTACCAGTGAATAAACAAATGGTCAGAGCTCCTCCTGCACTATGAAATGAAAGTATACAACCTAGTCTAAAGCTGCCAACACTCAAAAACTGATACCAAAACAGTGTTAATAAATCATAAAAAATATAGTGTAGCGCTTTTATCAAACAAATAAATACGTGCCAGATATACTAAATAGAATCCTAAAAATAAATAAATGTATAATATTCCTTCATAAATAATAATGAAAGACAGATATGATTAGTGCCAAGCTAAAATCTAATACCCACTTCATTTATAATGCAAATAGTGAGTGCCTAATAATAAACATAAGAGTGTATATAGTGCACACACCCCTATAACAAACAAGAAAAATCAAAAAAGCTATATCCAGTAAAAAACTATACAATATAATTCACAGTGCTCACACAGTGCAAAATAAAACAGTGTCCTCTCTGTTGAAAAACGCACTCTTAGCAATGTCCTTTTGTGGAAACAATATAATCATGCAGTGTGAAATGGTGATACATCCGTGATTGTGTCAAAAAACACTCTTCTCCTAATAATGGCTAGATTGCCTCCTCACCTCCTCCCAATGACCCCAAAGGGCCAGCAGGCTTGCAGGATCTCCCTGGATCCTTGGTTTATAATGACCAGCAGCTTCCTTCCTTTACTGGGTCTCCTTATTGGGGCTGCTATTGCCCCTGATCAGCCAAGATGGTTTCTGAAGAGTAATAGCTCACCAGTCCAGTGAGCCAAGAAGAGACTCTAAGTGCAGTACTTCAAACCACTTTTGTTTATTATAAAAGGTTAAGAGTAACACTCACATTCTAAGCAGTTCTCCCTCACTGATGTGTGGGTACACTGCATGTGAATGGGACTTCCTGGGTGTAGCAAAATGGCGTCGCACGCCGGAAGTGCGTCACCACGCACCGGAACTACGGACTCGCGAACCTACGCGTTACGTCACCGTCTGCTCGTGACTTCCTCGGGGACCAGTGAATTGGCTTTTTGTTTGAAAAATGTCATCCATTCCACAATCGAATGTTTACACAAACAAAATTTTGCAGTACTTTTAAACATTATGGGGTTTATTTACTAAAGCTGGAGAGTCCAAAATCAGACTCCCTTCTGCATAGAAACCAATCAGCTTCTAACCTCAGCTTGTTCAATGAAGCTTTGGCAATGAAACCTGGAAGCTGATTGGTTTCTATGCAGAAGGGAGTCTGATTTTGGACTCTCCAGCTTTAGTAAATAAACCCCTATATGTCAAGTCTCTGCTGACATTATCAAACATACTGACAACATTTTTCGTATGAAAATCTACCAGTGTATGACCAGTTTTAGGCCTGCCATAGGCAGATCAAAATTTGTCCGGTTCAGCAAGGACTGGCCAAATTTCGATCCATCTACAGGTGAAACTCAAAAAATTAGAATATTGTGCAAAAGTTCATTTATTTCAGTAATGCAACGTAAATGGTGAAACTAATATATGAGATAGACTGATTACATGCAAAGCAAGATAGTTCAAGCCGTGATTTGTCATAATTGTGATGATTATGGCTTACAGCTCATGAAAACCCCAAATCCACAATCTCAGAAAATTAGAATATTACATGCAATCAATAAAACAAGGATTGTACATAGAACAATATCGGACCTCTGAAAAGTAGAAGCATGCATATGTACTCAGTACTTGGTTTGGGCCCCTTTTGCAGCAATTACTGCCTCAATGCGGCGTGGCATGGAAGCTATCAGCCTGTGGCACTGCTGAGGTGTTATGGAAGACCAGGATGCTTCAATAGCGACCTTCAGCTCTTCTGCATTGTTCAGTCTCATGTCTCTCATCTTTCTCTTGGCAATGCCCCATAGATTCCCTTTGGGGTCCAGGTCAGGCGAGTTTGCTGGCCAATCAAGCACAGTAATCCCACAGTCATTGAACCAGGTTTTGGTGATTTTGGCAGTGTGGGCAGATGCCAAGTCCTGCTGGAAAATGAAGTCAGCATCCCCATATAGCTCGTCTGCGGAAGGAAGCATGAAGTGCTCCAAAATCTACTGGTAGATGGCTGCGTTGACCCTGGACTTAATGAAGCACAGTGGACCAACACCAGCAGATGACATGGCTCCTTAAATCAACACAGACTGTGGAAACTTTACACTGGACTTCAAGCATCTTGCAGTGTGTGCCTCTCCATTCTTCCTCCATACTCTGGGTCCTTGGTTTCCATATGAGATGCAAAAGCTGCTCTCATCAGGACTTTGGACCACTGAGCAACAGACCAGGTCTGTTTTTCTGTAGCCCAGGTAAGACGCTTCTGACGTTGTTTGTTGTTCAGAGCTGCTTGACAAGAGGAATTCGACATTTGAAGCTCATGTCCAGGATCCGTCTGTGTGTGGTGGCTCTTGATGCACTTACTCCAGCCTCAGTCCACTCCTTGTGAAAGTCCCCAACACTTTTGAATGGCCTTTTCCTGACAATCCTCTCCAGGCTGCGGTCATCCCTGCTGCTTGTGCACCTTTTTCTTCCACACTTTTCCCTTCCACATAACTTTCTATTAATGTGCTTTGATACAGCACTTTGGGAACATCCAACTTCTTTTGAAATTACCTTTTGAGGCTTTCCCTCCTTATGGAGGGTGTCAATGATGGTTTTTTGCACAACTATCAGGTCAGCTGTCTTTCCCATGATTGTGATTCCTACTGAACCAGACTGAGAGACCATTTAAAGGCTCAGGAACCCTTTGCAGGTGTTATGGCTTAATTAGCTGATTAGAGTGGGACACTTTGAGCCTAGAATATTGCACCTTTTTACAATATTCAAATTTTCTGAGATTGTGGATTTGGGGTTTTCATGATCTGTAAGCCATAATCATCCCAATTATGACAAATCACGGCTTGAACTATCTTGCTTTGCATGTAATGAGTCTAACTCATATGTTAGTTTCATCTTTTAAGTTGCATTACTGAAATAAATTAACTTTTGCACGATATTCAAATTTTTCGAGTTTCACCTGTATGGGCAGGATGGTTGTACTGAGAGTCAGTCTATCTATTGCTTTCAGTACAACCAGCCTGTTGGGTTTTTTTCTTGCGATCACTGTCAGTGAATATAGCCACCAGCAGTGATCATTGTATTCTGCTGGCAGGGAAGGCTTACACTACAGGAAAGCTTTCTAAAAAAAATTGGCCTAAGGAGGAAGGTGATGAAACAGTCTGATCTGAACAAAGAGTGAATCTGGCCACTGTACATTATTTTAGCACTGATGTGAAACACAGAGGTGATCTTTGGTGTTAAAGTGACACTAAACAGCATTCTCTATTATTTATATCAGACAGGTTTATGGTTCTGTCCTAGGACACACTGGAGTCTGTGAGAAAGGAGAGAAGCAGGGAGCAGCTATGCCCACCTCTTCTCTCTGCTGTCAATTCACAGAAGCGTTTTTATTTTGTGAATAAGTTCATACAACATAAAGGCTTTTGTGATTAGACAGGAGGAGGGGTGGGAAGGGCGTAGTAGCTGCACTGACTCTACACTTGAAGAGGATGAGACCAGCTGAGTGCAGCATTGGATCCCTGGAAGCTATACTGCTTGAACACAATAAACCTGTCAGATATAAAATAACAAAGATAGGGCTCCATTCATGAAGTGGTATTGTCCGCTTTAAAGATCCAAGGTAAAATACCTCTAGGTTTTTTCAAAGATTTTTGGACTTTTTTTGCTTAAAAAAAAAAATTTTTTTTGGTAAAAAAACCCTACAAAACGCGGCTAAACGCTAATACAAAAACGCTGAAAAACTCAAGTTTTTAACTTGATTTTATACAGCTAACGTTACCAGCATTGTTAAAACGACCCGTGTCCTTATGTTTGCGAGTTTATGCAGCAAATAACACACTGTATATGCTTGTATATACACAAAAAAGTCTCTGAAAATCTGGCGAAATGACAGGAGAAAATACATATATTTCACTAAGTGTAAAAGGGTTGATTTACTACAGGCAAATTGACTGTGGACTTTGCAAGTCCAGTTGCTCCAGAACTTTGTAAATGAAGGGAAGGTCTGCTGACTTCCATCATCCAATCATGTGCAAGCAAAAATGCTGTTCTTTTTAATTTTCCTTGCATGTGATTGGGTATGCTTTGTAAAGTGAAGCTTTACCTCATTTATTAAGCTGTATAGCAACTTCACTTGCAAAGGGCACAGTCTATTTGCCTTTAGTAAATCAACCACAATATTTCTGTGTTGTGTCCATATTTAGGTTGGTATGCATTACTGTTGGGAGAACTGATCCAAAAACGTAGACTACTTACTCCAAATTGGCTGTTATATTTTTACATTCCTTCAGTATCATATGTCTGGACCACTACTTTTTGAATGCATGTATTTATTTATCCTTTAGTGAATTGACCCATAACGCAATATTTATGGAACGTTTTTGGGTTTTGAGGTAATGTAACGAACCGCCTGACG